CCTGCTTAGCAGTGAAGTGCCTTAGACACTACGCCATGAGAGCCCAAAGGGAAAGCCTCCCTGGAGGTGTCGGACATTGAACCCGCAGCCTCATACATGCAAAGCATGTGCTCTACCACTGAGCTACATATATTTTGCCTACATAATCCTTAATATTGCAACTACTGAATTTTTTCTTTAGTTCTTTCAGCTTGAGAAATCCCAATTGTATTATTCTCTTTTGGTCTTCTAACACCAGGTCTCTGCACATCTCATTATAATACTTTGTCTTCTTGAGCTGCCCTTTGAAATCATTTGTTCAGCTCTTACTTCATCATTTCTTCCATTTACTTTAGCTACTGTATGTTCAAGAGAAGTTTCAGAGTTCCAGGTTAGTAAAAGCAAAGATGTAATTTTTCCCCCTTACCAAATTCTTGGAGCTCCTGAATTTTATCCACAGTCCCTTAGAGGTCCATGGACCCCAAGTAAAAGCTCTTGTACTAAGGTGCAAAATGTCAGGGCATTTCTTGTTATTGGCCTGCAGCATTAATACACTTCATCTCCTATGTATCCCAATTCTTCACAGCATAGCATGCTTAGGCTTGTTTTCGCTCCTGTCCAGTTCTCCGGACTAGTCAGACTCCCTGTTGTTTGTGAACTGTGATGAGCAGAACTAGCTGAGAATGCAACTCAGGGCCACATTTAGAGTCTGATGGCAGCAGTCTCCTGTGACTCCGTAACACCCAGTAGCAGGCTGACTTCCTTTATTAACACCTGGCACTTAGGGTTATTAGTGTTCTCTTACGACTAAAGACAATCCTTAGGCTATTCTTTTCATAACTGTAGCTTTTCTTCCTCACCAATTCTCTATTTGTTCATTAAAAAAAAAATCCCCATGAAATGTTTCTTTCTTTGATCATCATTGTCTGTGACCCTGCTATGGTGTTATTATTAGTTGCTATTGAATGGCCTCCAACTCTGGGCAACCCCATGCACAGCAGCAGGAAATGCCTGGTCCCGGGTCACCTTCATGCTCACTGGTACGTTTGACTCCATTGGTGTAGCTATTGTGTCAGTCACCTCACTGAGGGCATCCCCATTCTGCCATCCACTGGATGGATGATCACCGCATCAATTCTTCAGGCCTTAACTGGCACTCTTCTCAATGGCATGATGAGCTGAGAGAGGAACCGGCCAAGGTTTTCACTCTGTTCTGTTTCTTTAAAATAAAAGCAGCTCATTAGAATTATTGACTACCCTTAGTTATCACTGCATCTAAAATTAATATACAATTTAGAGGTAAAGAAATAGAAACAGGCCCAGCCTCCACAACCCTGAGGCCAGAGCTAGACGGTGCCCAGCGACCACGACTGATCACTCTCAAAGGGATCACAAGAGGAGGTCCTGGACAGAAGGGGAGAAAAATACAGAACAAATTAGAAAATCATAAAAAAGACCAGGCTTACCGGTCTGATAGAGACTAACGGAATCTCTGAGACTTTGGCTCTAAGAGCCAAAGACAGCCTTCAAGCCTGGAATTGAATTCACCCATGGCTCAACTTTCAGCCAAAGAGTAGACAGACCTAGAAGGGAGCAGTAACACCAGGGAGGTACACATTCCTTTAACAATCAACTATATGAGATCAAAAGGGCAGGATCTGGCCAGGGCTTAAGCTCAGAAGGCAGGGAAGGATAAGAAAGAAGGATTCATTGAAGCACGAAACATAGGGAGGAAGCGGGAAGTGTGCTGTTACACTGTAGGAATTGTAATCAATGTCACAAAACAAAATGTGTATGAATTGTTGAATGGAAAACCAATTTGTCCTGTAAACCTTCACTCAATGATAATCCAAACCAAAATCAACCTCATTGCTGTCGAGTCGATCCGACTCATACCGGCCCCTCCTTGGATTTCCAAGGTGGTACCTCTATGGAAGTAGATTGTCCAATCATCCTTCTGAGGAGTGGCTGGTGGGTTTGAACCACAAGCCTGGTTAGCAGTCAAATGCCTTAGGCACTGCACCACCAGAGCTCCTCCAAATTATAATACAAAGTTAAAAAAAACACCTCAACCCAAAAGCCCCCAAAATCAGAAGAAGAGCAGCAAAAAAAAAAAAAAAAAAAAAAAAAAACAAGAAGAAAAGAAAACACAAGAAATAGAAATAGGTAAAATTAAATTGGTGCCCTGGCAGAGCAATGGCTAAGTGCTTGGCTGCTAACCGACAGGTTGGTGGTTTGAACCCACCCACTGGCTCCACAGGAGAAAAGACTTGACAACATGCCAGGATTATAGCCTAGGAAATCCAATGGGCAGTTCTATTCTATCATATAGGCTCCCAATGAGTTGGAATCAACTCGACAGCACACAATAACTAATGTCTAGTGAGGTTTTCAAATGTCACTCATGGGACCTTGGGATAATCTTGGACAGGACTTTGGGGCTGCCACGGGAAGTGGGGAGCTCTATGTGGGGGTGGGCACGTGGAACACCGACCTACCCTTCAAGTAGAACTCTTTCTCTTTTAGTAGTCTTATAATATTGGGTTTCTTGGTTAAGATAAATACAATTTCACATGAAGAAAAGTTTCCCCTGTTTAGAAATGCATGCTACTGAAGTTTAATACAGTAAAACCCACAAAAGCCAGAACCTGTGTATGGTGGAAACCTGTCCAAGAAAGGAAAGTCAAACACTTTCCCACCGTAACAAGTGGTAAGTCTGCACCCTGTCAAAGTGGAAAACTTGCCACACCTGGAAAGACAAGGAAGTCCCATCTCTGTGAGAGTTCCAGCGCTCACAGGTTTCACTGTACAATAAGCCAGACTGATAGTGGCCGCCCAATGGTTAACATGGAAAGATGAAAATAAAACTATGTATGAAACTTCAAATTCTTCAGTTGGGTAGACAAATTTATGAGACATATTTTGTGAAGGCTAAAGAAGGAATGAACTTCATAGGCTACTGTGAACTATACCCTTTTCACAGTGGAATGGCGTTTTGCATTTTTCTAACCAGTATCTGCAGAAATATTCTGGAATTCTCTGTAGAAAGAGCTGGGAGAAATGCAAATCAAACCTTGGGTAAGCATTTCATGCTCACCCTTATCTGTTTAGGAAATGAAGTCTTTCACAAAAGAACCACATTCCATGAAAAGAATGTTTGTTTTGGCTTAAACATAATCTTTTCTTTAGGAAAGTATGATTCATATTAAAGCATCCTAGGAAATCCAAAATCATTTACTTTGTAGACTGACTTATGTAGAATGTCCTAATATCTTCTGAAGTACATGGCAATGCTTGCAAAGTTAATCCTGTTGTTTGATGCTGTGCTTTTACTTAAATACACCTACTCCTTACTCAACGACCACCGTGTTATCTGACATTTCACATTTACAACAAAAGTAAAAAATCTATCAGCCAATTATTTGTGCATTAATGACATATATCTGGCAGAAACGAACAGGCGTAACTGACAAGCCCAACACTGCCTGCGACGGTCAAGGTCACGTGTTAACTTGGCTGACCATGGATCTCAGTGGTCTGGCAGTTATGGAGTGGTGTGGTCATCCTGCATTTTGTGACCTGATGTGGTCATCCTCCATTTTTGCCTAGTGCCAATTCTGCATAATGACCTGGTCTTTGGAGCCTAACCATGTCTGTAAGTGAGGAGTGGGTGTACATGCTATTATTCCACAGGCTTCACTGTTTACTAGATGCTGAATCTAGTCATTTTGATTTTGCATACATATATCTGTCTGTATATATGTATGCTTTTTTCTTTACAAAATGTGTCTCTAAATATATTTTATTAAAAGTATCAATAGTTTAAATAAATCAGTAGGGTAGGTGATAACATGGAATTAAGAACCCTGACTCTGGGACCAGACTACTCAACTTCTAATTCCAGCTCAGCTACTTAACTTACGAGCTCTATGACTTCTGAAGGGTCACCTGACTTCCCTGAGCTTTGCTTTCCATATGTGTTAAGTGTTAAGCTGTGCTTCCTTCATAGGGCTGTGAAGATTGTAGATGCTGATCCATATGTGAATATGTGGACTAGCACCTGCTATACAGTAAATGCTCCATAAATACTACTTCTTACCAGCCATTCCTAGTTTCCCAGTGTAGTCAGGCTACGCTCCATTCAGTTAATGAAATACTCTCGTGGATAAGAAGCTGCTGGTGACTATTAATAGATTAACTTTACCCAGACTATAATCAAATACATTCAATTGGAAGCCCTGCTGACCTAAGTACACAGACTTTCAGGGCAGAAAGAACCTTAGAGAGCGTGTTGTTTGGTGCCCTTCTTTGGTGGCTAAAGACATCGAGGTCCAGACCGATGGGAGAACACAGAGAGTCACTGAGCGAGGCAGGATGTGGCTGCCTCACAGGGCACTTCAGGCTCTTGGAAGGCTACAGTTAAGTGCCCACGATGGGCATCAACCGTCTGCACTGAGACGCCTGTTGCTGGAGCATTCCCTGCCCTTGAGAATGAGAAACAAGATCATCTGCACGTTCAGGACGGTCAATAAGCAATGTCAATATAGGTAAGGAAGCTGGTTTTCCTTTAGAACCAGAGTGCTATTCTTTACTACACTGATACAAAATGCTTATAATTGGTGTGTGTGGGGGGCTCTATATGCTTCTGTTTCAAGTATCATTTGAAAGACGCTGTTCAGTTAAAGATATAATAAAAACAATCTCAAGGATTAGAAACAGAAAAGCCCAGCAGGTCCAATCCTGCATCATCGGAACAATCTCCATGCCCAGACCAGTAAGGCAGACACGGTGCAGACAGTCAAGGTTTTATTTCAAATTACGGAACACTTAGAAACAAACACTGTGATACACCTGAGGCTTTGTTGTGGACCTTAGAAAAACGTTTTCAGTTATACTTCAAATCCTTGAGTTGCACCCCAAACAGAGCACGTCACGCAGCCAATCCTAACTGCTGGGAGAGGTGGGCTCAGCCGACTGCTGAGGTGGGAGGTGGGCTGCAGACTCCCCACGGTGGCGTCCTCCTACTCCGAGTGGCGGCTTCGTTTCTTGTGGCCTTCAATCGCCCTTCTGAGTGCTTCATCCTGGACCAGATCCGACATTCGCACATCTGTGTGGCTGCAGCCGATTTTGGGGCAACTGTGAGGGACAAAGACAAGTCAGTCTGCTTCAGTTCAATGCTTTTGGCATGGATGTCTTTCATGTTTGAGTATTTACATGTTAACAAAATGGAGCCCTGGTGGAGCAAGTTAAGTGCTTGGCTGCTGACAGAAAGGTAGGTGATTCAAACCCCCTCAGGGGGGAAAGGCCTGGCCATCTGATCTCTAAAGATCACAGCCAGCAAACCCCCTGGGCCAGTTCTGCTCTGCCAAGTGGGGTCGCCGTGAGCTGAAAACCAACTCAATAGCTCCTAACCTAATCTGTTAACCAAAAGGGGTATGTTTTAAAGGCCAGTGTTCATTCACTGGCTCACCGAGTGCCAACCTGAACAAGTCACTGCCCAGCGGCTGGGGACACAGCAGCGTCACTCATGTGGCTTCCTTTCAGATCGGGAGACTCACTGAGTGACCACTTTGATCCATGCTGCACTTTCCGGTCACATTAGGTGCTATGAAGAAATGAAGCAGAGTCAAGCAAGAGAGTTGGGGTGGAGGCTTTTCTAGCTGGGGCAGAGCCTGAGAGGAGGGAGCGAATGAGCGGTGAGTGTGGCCCGGCTAGGAGTCCCTGGGTGGTACAAACGGTTAATGTGCTGCTACATGACAGGCGGGCAGACTCAGCTCACCCGGAGGCCCCTCAGAAGAAAGGCCTGGGGATCTACTCCTGAAAAACCAGCCAATGAAAGCTCCACGAGCGCAGTGCTACTCTGACACGTGTAGGCTGCCCCGAGCTGGTCCTGACTGTTGGCGGTGACTGGTATAGAACAGTGGCCCAGGTGAGGCAGTAGTCAGGGTGACAGCTGGCAGACGCAGCAGTCTGGCGCACTGCATCAAAGGGAGGGCACTTGGAGATGGCGCCGGAGGGTGAGTGGGACTCTGGAATTTATTGTAAACATGGTGAGGAAACACTGCAGGGTTCTGAGAGAGGGGAAGGAGGTGATTTAGTTTACATTTAAAGAACATCACTCCAGGCACTCACTCACTGGAGAGCACAAGGTAGGGGCAAGAGCAGAGGCAGGGAGAAGAGTGAGGAGAAGCCTGCAGAAAGGCAGCTTGGATGGGGTGGCAGCTGTGATCACTCAGGATACGTCTGAGAGTGGACCCTACAGGACCTGCTGATGGTTTGGATATGGCGGGCAATAGAGAGAGAAGAGTCGAGCTTTATTCAAATGGTTTGGACTGAGCAAAAGGGCAAATGGGGGTGCTCTTGACTGCAATGGGGAGCAACGTGTGGACCTGACAGCCTTCCTGTGAGCAGCTGGAGGGATTCAGTGTCATGATTTAAATGTGCTCCATCTGAAATGGCCACTAGACCTCCCAGTAGAGAGACTGAGTGGGCCAAGGGTACTAGATGAAAGGCCATGGCAGAATAAACCAGTGTGTGAGTCATCCGGACACAAGAGGAACTTTGCGACGCCACTCCGTTTACATGTGATCTCCTCTGAAGATGCTCCATTGGAATAAGTCATCTGATTTCTTCTCAACGTGAACCAGAGGAGAGCACCCACATTTTGGAGTCAAGATGACCTCAGTCTGAATTGCATCTCTACCATTTCCTTCTAGTTATGAGACCACGGGCAACTCACTTTCCCGTTCTGAGCCTCCAACCTCTCAGATTTAAAATGCGGGGAGAATCCCTGTGGCCCAGGGTTACAGGCCACACAGAGCCCTGGCAACGCTTCTTCCCTGCATTACCTCCTATGACCATCATTTGTTGAGGTGGCCCCGATTCATGGTGACCTGATCACAAAGGAACGACTGTGGACCAGACTGTTGTGATCCATACAGTTTTCACTGGCTGATGTTCAGAAGTAGATTGCCAAGTCTTTCTTCCTAGCCTGTCTCAGTCTGGAAGCTCTGGTGAAATCTGTTCAGCATCATAGCAACATTTAAGCCTCCACTGGTGATGGGCGGTGCTGTCCAGGAGTGCATTGGTTGGGAATAGGACCTGCGTCTCCTGCATGGAAGGTGAGAATTCTACCTCTAAACCCCTACTGTCCTCGTGCCCAACCTGACACTTACGCAGACACATTCATGCATCCATTCAGCCCTTCTCTGTGATTGACCCTGTCCTGGGATCTAAGCATACAATTGTGAGCTCAAGGTCCAGTGACTTGAGACAGCTTTCCAAAAACCACAGGCATATTAGGACCAAAAGTAACAAACAGAACAAAAAACAAAAACCTCAGGGGAAAAAAGAGTTGATCACAGCAATAAAAGTTCAACAGGAAAGAGAAACTTGTCTTGGCCTTCATCTCTGGATCAAGGAATCTTCATATATTAGAGGGCATTAAGCAATGTACTGAATAGTGTGCTTGACAGCAATGTTTATTTCTTAGACGCTGAAATGCTCCTCAGGTGGCAAGGGACGTGTTACACCAGTGAGAGAGAGACAAGTACATGAAGGAGGACCAGGGCAACTTGGCCCAGGTGTACCTCGTTCTGACGACTTGCCTTTGTATTAGGGGAAAGCTTGGAGTCACTTGAGGGAAGTTTCCCCCTAGTTTAAACCTCTCTATTTTTCCCTAGCCTGTCCCCCTACACCCTGGAAGCTCACAGTGAATAATTTCCTTAACTATGACATTATGAAGAGGATCTGGACACTGTCATGGCTCAAGGCAGGCAATTTTCATCACTTAAACTCTTATGAGATGAAAATGCACCTCCAGGTTGGTGGCCAGGATGACAAGTGCTGGGATGAGTCTCACTTGATACATCAACCCACTGACCAGTACGCCTGGCTGCCAGTCTGCTCCACAGAGCAAAGTCTCCACTTCTGAGAGCAGACAGTGAACAAGCCGGACAGGGAAAGTGGAGAGTAAGGTGCAGGCATTCCTTGGTGATGCGGCTGGTCCTAGTCAGCAATGCAGTGTTCCGAGAATGGCTCAGCAACAGGTGCTCCCTCAGCTGCAGAGCAGGTGCACACTCTCACTTCCATGAGACGGAGCCCAGGGTGATCCGTGTCAAGTAAAGAGGACTGAGCTCACTTGGGGACAAACTCAGGGGACATAGGCATTAGCCAGACAGCCCTCCCCAGGGGGGCCAGATGGCCTGATGGCAAAAACAGAGACTCAAGATGAAAAAAGTCATGGAAGCAAACCTGCTGGCTGTGACCTCCAGGCAAGTGACTTAATTCTCTGTGCCTCAGGTTCTTCTTCTATAAAAATGAAGGCAGAGCACAGAGTTGTCATGAGAAATAGGAGGGACGATGTGTGTATGTGAGCTTCAGTAGCATAGTGCCTAAGGCACTTGACTGCTAAACAGGAGGCTGGTGGTTCAAACCCACCAGCCAATCCTTAGAAGGAAGGTGGGGCAATCTACTTCCATAGTGATACTGCCTCGGAAACCCAAGGAGGGGTCGCTATGCGTCGGGCCTGACTCGATGGCACATAACAACAACAACAACAACAACAACGTGTGTGGAGGGCTGAATAATTCGGCTCGGGTGCTGCAATACACCAGGTTCTGCTTCAGCCACGGCTTCTGCTCCTCAGAGACTGGTGGAGAAGAGTCAGCCCCATCCGGTAACGCCGGTGTGACATGCAGACACTGACAATGTGCAGGGCACCACGGGAGCATGCAGGAGGACGTATAATCAAGAACGGATGGTATTGAAAGAAGTCCAGGCTGCCCTGAAGGAACTGGTGAAAAACAAGGCTTCAGGAATTGACAGGAAACCCACTGAGATGTTTCAACAAACGGATGCAGTGCTGGAAGCGCTCACTTATGCCAAGAAATTTGCAAGACTAACTGGCCAGTGTCCTCTGAGAGATCCATCCGTATTTGTGACTGACCATTCCAATGAAAGGGGATCCAACAGAGTGTGGAAATTATAGAACCATATCATTAATATCACACACAAGTAAAACTTTGTTGAAAATAACTGAAAAATAGTCACAGCAGTATATTGACAGGAAACTAACAGAAATCCAAGCTGGATTCAAAAGAGGACATGGAATGAGGGATATCATTGCTGACATCAGAGGGATTTTGGCTGAAAGCAAATACCAGAATGATGTTTACCTGTGTTTTATTGACCAGGCAAAAACATTCAACTGTGTGGATCATAACAAATTATGGATAACACAGCAAAGAATGGGAATTCCAGAACATTTAATTGTGCTCATGAGGAACCTGTATATAGACCAAGAGGCAGTCATTTGAACAGAGCAAAGGGGGACACTGTGTGGTAGTTCAGTTTGTGTGTCAACTTGGCTGGGCCTGGTTGAGTGGCTGGGCAGCTGGATGGAGTATTCCCCATGATGAGACTGGTAATCAACTCCATGGTGGAATCTACTTTGAGCAGCTGAGTAGCTGCTTTGGGTATGTGGTCTGCTTCCCGTATGTAAGCAGCAGCTTTGGGAATGGTCTCTAGCTTATGGCACACTTGAACCCTGCATGTAGCCGTGTCGTTGTTCAGCAGCCTGCCATGCTCTGCCTACCTTGGGACTTACAGTGGACTTAAATTAATGGCCTGCTGTGTGGTTTGGTAATATCAAGACTGTACCTTATTACTTGTCAACCTTGGGCTTGTCAGCCTCTGCAGCCAGCAGCTGAGTGAAGAAAAGCCTCCAGCTTCAGTGGGCCAGGAGCAGGAGGCAAAGCTGAAGCCTAAGGTTGAGGGGCTTTCACCCAGCCCCTAGAGCCTGGCACTTTGAACTCAGACTTAAAGCCTCTGAACTGTAAGAGAATAAACTCCTGTTTGTTAGGGTCATCCCATTTGTGGTATATTCTTGTCAGAGTGGCACTAGGTAAACAGAACACATCGAATGGTTTAAAATCAGGAAAGGAGTGCATCAAGGTCATATCCTTTCACCACAGTTATTCAATCTGTATGCTAAGCTAATAATCTGAGAAGCTGGACTATTAGAAGAATGTGGTATCAGGATTGGAGGAAGACTCATTAACAACCTGCAATAGGCAGATGACACAACCTTGCTTGCTGAGAGTGAAGACTTGAAGCACTTACTGATGAAGAGTAAA